ACTGCAGTCACCACCATCATGGGCTGCCGCTGCTACTTACCTGTGGAGCCATCTGTGCCAACGGTGACTGCTGCTGTGTACAGAATCTCCCGCTGCTGCCACAGAGCCATGCTCGGAGCTATATGGCCAGCGGCAGTGACACAGCGCGTGGGGTGGGTGGTGGGGATGGCTGCCTGCTGCACGGCCACCACCATGCTGCCACCCAGCGGCTGGCTGCACAGCTCCGAGCAGAGGTCTGCGGTGACAGTGGGAGGTTTTGAAGGCAGCGGCCATCAACGCTGTCACAGCCGTCCAGGTAAGCAGCAGTGCCGCGTGCAAACCTAAGCACTCCCCCGCGCCCCCATCCCTCGCTGTGGCTGCAGAGCCGGCCACGGGGCTGTGCTTCGGCTGCATGCCAGCCTCCCTCTCCCCCTCCACTGAGCATGTGGCTGGGCAACACCATACTTTCCCACAAAGCCCCTTCATGGAGGGGCACCCCTGCCCTCACCCCCTGGCCCTGTTTCTAGCTGCGATGTGCCTCCTGGGGCCAGCAGCACCCGCCACTCCCTCAGCCCCCAACCATCTTTCCCAGCCCTGCCCCACAGCTCCACTTGCCCTTCGCCCCGGAGCATGGAGGTGAGTCTGAGTCTGAGCCTGAGCCTGGTCTTGGCTGCCTCAGAGGCTCAGGCCCTGCCCTCCCCCTCTGGCCAGGGCTGGGGTGTCCCGCCCTTTTTGCAATTGGCTCCTGCAGGCTGGAGCTGTGCCAGCCTGCAAGAGCTCTTTGCAAAAGTGGAGAATCCGCATATTTCTCTGCTAAAAAGAGAAATTTGCTTTTTTTCCGATTAAAAACAGGGAATCCGTGGTTTTCTCTGTTTTTCCATGGGAAACGGAAAACCTGGATGCCTGCTGATGAGTAAAGAGTCCTCCTCGCAGCAGGTATTATGGAGCTTTCTCACCACAGTGCAGCTATTTCATGCCATTGGTCTGTTAGGAAACACTCAAAAGCTTAGTTCATCTGCTGCACAAATGTTCACCACTGCCACTTCTTCCTTCAGTCACCACTTTTCTCTCTGCCAGCATAGGGAAAGTGACTGCTGCTAAAGCCCCACACTGCCCAATGTCACTGAAGCCCCATGTCCACAAGTCAAATCAAAAGGGTCTGCAGGCTGGCTCATGGGCTGTAAGTTGCAAACCCCTCTGCCACGTCCATAGATAGAGCCACCTGAGATCCTCCCCCTTTTTTGTTTTCAGTCTGAATGACCAGTGTGGCTTACATGCTAGGCAGGAATTCAGGTCACACATTTTCTGAAGAACACCTAGCCTGCCTGGTACACACAGCACAGCTCCTCTTCAAGTTTTTTGTGATAGGAAAAGTGGAAGGGCCATAGGGGATAAGAGATAAGCAACATATTTTTGGAAGTGTATGCTCTACCAGGTATAATCTTAGCCAGAGGAACTTGTGTCCTTGATAATAGGGAGTGTGTTAACTCCTCTGGTGGCTTACAGGTGTGCCTGTTCTGGAGACTTTTGTCTGAAAGGTAGAATTTAGCCAGACTTATATGCCTAAGAAATGAAGATACCACCTAAAATAGATTGGTAACCAATTGCCACACTGCAGATGGAGAACAATAGCTATTTTTACATTAATTTCTGCTTGGAAAAATTATTGGTTTAAAGTTAAAGTTTGTATGATTATAGCAAAAATAGTCAGTGCATTATCTATTTTTTACAGAATTAAATGTAAGGGAATCTGATGCACGAGTGTGTGATGAATCATCATGTAAATATGGAGGAATATGTAAAGAAGAAGGTGATGGCTTGAAATGCGCATGTCAATTTCAGGTAAGGATTTTATACTTTTGTTTCTGCCTGTCTGAAACATCCAGACATTCATAAGAACTGTGGAATCCAGTAGTTTTAAAACTTCATTTCTCTAAAATATTTATGTGATTTTTGTCAGTTATGTTCTTTAGATTCTAAATACTTTTATTCAGACAGACTGAGAGTCACTGCAGCATGGCTGTGCATGGAGAGTTAGGGCAAGAAAAAGCCAACCCCACTGCCCTGCTCAGCCTTGTAGGAAGATCCTGCATCATGGGTTCAAAGGCAGGTTGTAGGCACTACACATGTGGTACTTCATCCACCTTTTATGAGCATGTAGATCAGGGGTGGGCAAAATGTGACCCATGGGCCAGATGCAGCCTGCCAAGCCATTCTATCGGGCCCGTGGGGCCCCTAAAAAATTTAGAAAATTAATATTTATCTGCCCTGGGCTGCCTGTCATGCAGCCCTTGATGGCTTGCCAAAATTCAGTAAGCGGCCCTCCACCCAAAATAATTGCCCATCCCTGGTGTAGATGCCTGTAGGAATGGGGAAATATTGAATGCCTGGCCCCTGTTCTCTGCCTTCTCACCTTAGGACCTGTGATACTTTTTCCCAGGATCAAGAAAGGAAAAAGAAAGGAATTTTGAGCCAGACTTAACATTGATGTATTATGCCACCCTGCTGACTGAATTGTATAGGGTGAATCTAATTTATTATAAAATATTTAGACATATATTGCAGTCAAGGTTCTTTAAGTTAAATCTGATATCTTTTATTAGACCAACTAAATAGTTGGAAAAAAATTTCTTAGCAAGCTTTTGGGTTTAAAAACCCTTTATCAGGCTGAGGAAGCATCTGCAGTTGATGTGTGCTCTTCCTGGATGGAATTAATAGTAAAGAAACCAGAGGCTGGTATGTATGGAAGACAGCCAGTCAGTAAAGGTGT